CAGCCTGGGTGAGGGGATGATGGCTGTTTGCAGCTGGTCACACACTCTTCAGGGTGGGGGTCCCCACTGGGGTGCCTGGCCAGTCTGGGTGTGGGGCTGAGGGCTGTTTTCAGGCTGGTGGGTGACTGAAGCTCCCAACTGCTCCTTTTTTTCTTATTCTGGGCCAGCTTTAGCTCTGACTCCAGCTCTGAGGCCTCTGCTGCTGAAAGCAGGTATCTGGTTGTATTTGATAATCTTGCATATTGTTCTTATCAGGACTGCTAGTATTATATTCAATAGAAGTGACAAGAGTGGGCATCCTTGCCTTGCTTTAGATATACCAGGAAAAAGCTCTCAGTTTTTCACTTTTGAGTATGATGTCAGCTGTGAGCTTCTCATATATGACCTTTATTTTGCTGAGTAATTATTTTTGTATATATAATTTGTTGAATGTTTTTATTCTGAAAGAGTGAATTTTGTCAAATGCTGTTTTTGCATCTATTGAGATGATTAGATGATTTTAAACCTTCATTCTGTTATATGTTATATTACATTTAATGATTTTCATATGATGAATCATCCTTGCATCCCAGAGATAAATTTCATTTGATCATGATGTGTGATTTTAATGTACTGTTGACTTTAATTTGAATACATTGAGAATTTTTCATCTGTGTTCATCAGAGATATTGGCCCATTGTTTCTTTTTCTTGTAGGTTCCTTATCTGGATTTGGCATCAAGAAAATGGTGGCCTCCTAAAATGAGTTTGGAAGTGTTCTTTACTCTATAATTGTTTTGGAAAACTTTGAAGAGGATTGGTATTAACTCTTATTTAGATGTTTGGTAGAATTCACCTGTGGATCTACCTGGTCCTAAAAACTAGGATAGGAAACATCAGGTTCTGGAGAAATAGAACCAGTTCTTACTGTTATTTCTTTATTTTCTTGTGTTTTAAAAACATATTGGAATTTCATTAGATATTAAGTAAATTAATAGGTAGAAAAATATAAATATAATTTTCCTTATCTCAAATACATAATTATTCTTGTATCAATCTTTAAGTCTTAATAAGGAGAAAATTAGGAGAAAGGAGTAATGCTATTATTTGCTTGATCTTCACATTATTAGGTAACTTAACATTAAAAAAAACACCTTTTCTCCATAATTGGAGTTGAATATATACTCTTTCTAGAAGAATGGATTTCTTTACGTTCAATCAATTTGCCGTGCTTCTCTGGAAAAATTTTACAATAAAGGTAGGTAAAAGCATTCAAGGAAAATATCTATATGCCTGCCTGTTGCAATTCAGGATATGTGTGTTTTAAAAATCAATTTAATAGCTGTAGGTAGCTCTTCCAAATCTATAAAACTATATTAATCAATAGTATAGTCTGATCTATAAGAAGGTTGGTAGTGGAGAGGGGAGGGAGTAGTACAAGAAAGTCCAGGAAAGACTAGTATTGTCTAGTGTTAAATTAGAAGAATATAATAGAACTATTCATTGGCATTTAATGTGTACTCTTAACACTATCTTTTGTTCCTCTTCTAGAGAAGGCATTACATTAATTTATTATTTGAAGTCCTAACAGCAATGGTGTTTCCAATGTTGATTTTGCTATTCCGTTCACTTACTACTATACATGTTGCTGGACCTCAATATTTTAAACCTCTACACATCAGTGGTTTGCCTTCTTTCCTCCAAAATCCTCAAGAGTGGGAATTGATTTACGTGCCTTCTAATATTAATGTGGTAAAAGAGATCATTGAGAACATGAAGATGAATTTAAACATCAGTATAAAAGGTTAGAAATAAAGGTTTTCTGTAAAACTTATCCTTAATTTGTTATAGAACTAAAACAATCCTATATAATAAAGAGGTAATATGCAAATTGACTGTCACACCCTTGCACAAGATGGCTGCCCCCATGTGGTCAAAGATGGCCACAACAAGTTGGCCAGCAGGGGAGGGCAGTTAGAGGTGATGAGGCCAGCAGGGGAGGGCAATTGGGAGGGACCAGGCCTGCAGTGGAGTGCAGTTAGGGGGGACCCAGGCATGCAGGGGAGCAGTTAGGTGTCGATCAGGCTGGCAGGGGTGTGGTTAGGGGGTGATCAGGCCGGCAGGCAGAAGTGGTTAGGGGCAGGCGGGCAGGCAGGCGAGTGGTTGGGAGCCCACAGTCCTGGATTGTGAGAGGGATGTCCGACTGCTGGTTTATGCCTGATCCACCTGGGATTAGGCTTAAACAGGCAGTCAGACATCCCTCAAGGGGTCCCAGATTGGAGAGAGTGCAGGCTGGGCTGAGGAACACCCCTGCCCCCCCCCCCCGCCCAATGCCACCCTTCCCCCCTCCCCCCCGCAAATTTCGTGCACTGGGCCTCTAGTGTAAGAAGTAATAAAGTTGGAGGAATTACACTTTAAAATTACAATATTAAGACTTATAATATAATTGTAGTGATAAAGACACTGTGCTATTGGAGGAATAGACACATAGAACAAAGAGTCCAGTGATAGACCTACACAAATAGTCCAGAATATTTTTTATAATGGCGCAAAAGAATTCAGTGGAAGGATAATTTTTCAACAAATGTGCTGCACAATTGGACATCAATAGACAAAACAATAAAAATTGCATCAAAATGAATCAGATCTAAAAGTAAATTGATACAAAATTTGGGAAGAAAATATTTGTAACTTAGAGTCAGTTGAAAAATTATCAAATATGACACCAAATGTATCATCCATGAAAGAAAAAAATGGATTAATTATGCTTCTGGTATATATGGTTGATCTTGGAGTTAAAATATACATACTTAATTTTCACACTTTACCTAGTTTACCACTTGTCATAATGTCAAATGATTACCAATATATAGAGATCCCTTTATGTATTTCTCTTTATGTTGTAGTTTTCAAATCTACATAAGTTGAAAATCTTACCAGGAAATGTTATAATTCACACACATATTTTAAAGAACATAAGAAAACTATTTTTCGCATATTTACCATAGCTGTGGCTCTTCCTTCATCCTCGAAGTTCCAATTTTTCTTTTGATATCATTTTCCTTCTTTCTGAAGAAATTCCTTAATTTCTTAGAATAGGTCTATTAGTAACAAATTCTCTTTGTTTTCCTTAATGTGAGGATGTATGTATTTCAACTTCATGGTCTTGAGGTTATTTTCATTTGTTATAAAATTCTGGATTGACAGTTATCCCTTTCAGCATAAAAAAAATATTTGCACTTTCTTCTGATCTCCTTGGTCTCAGGGAAAAAATATCTGTGATTCTTTGAATCCTTGTTTTCCTATAGATAATGTGTCATTTCTCTCTGGGTGCTTTTAAGACATTTTCTTTCTTTGTCAAAAGTTAGATTATGGTATGTCTGAGCATGGATTTCTTTTGGTTTATTCTGTATAGAGTTCACTGAGCCTTTTGAATCTATAAGTTTGTCTCTTTCAACAAATCTGGAGAATTTTGGGCATTATTTCTCAAAGTTGTTTTTCAATAAGGCCTTCTTTCTCTTCTAAGACTATGAAGACATAAATGCTAGACATTTTGTATTTCCCAAAAGAGGCTCTATTCAATTTCTTTTCAAATTTTTTTCTCTCTTGTTTCAATTAGGTAATTTCTGCTGATCTTTCTTCACTGACTCCTTTCTCTGGTATTTCAGTACAGCTATTGGTCCATAAATAGTGTTGTTTTTTTAAAGCACAGTTTTAAGTGATCTCCATCTTCTGATTTACCTAAAAAAAGAGAAAAAAAAAAAACAATAGCTTTTTTGAGATATAATGCACATACCATACATTCACTTATTTAAATTCAATGGCTTTTAGCATATTTCCAGAGTTGTGCGACCACTACCACAACCAGTTTTAGTGCATTCTTTTCATCAAAAATAAGTCTCATAACCTTCAGTCAGGACACCACAATTTCCTATCTTCACCAGGATTAGGAAAACATCTACTTTTTTTCCAAATACATTTGCCTATTATAAACCGTTTATATAAATTGTTTATATACACCCTTTCCGTATTGATTTTATATAAATGCAATATGTAAATTTTTGTGATTGGCTTCTTCACTTCATATAATGTTTTCAGAGTTTATACTTGTTATAGCATGTATCATTACTTCATTCCTTTTTGTTGTTAAATATCCCATTGTATGAATATACTTTATTCAGTCGGTATATCCTTCATCAGTTGATGGGCATTTGGGTTGTTTACACCTTTGGGTTATTATAAATTGTACTTCTGTGACTACACATCTGTTAGTTTAATGTAGACATATGTTTTCATTTCTTTTGGGTATACACCTAGGAGTAGAATGAGTACCTTATGTGGTAACTCTGTGTTTAACTTTTTGAGGGACTGACAGGCTTAATTTAAAGTTGTACCATTTTACATTCTGGTCAGCAGTGTATGGAGGAACCAATATTTCAACATCCTCACCAGCACTTGTTGTCATCTATCTTTTTATTGTAGCCATCTCAATGGATGTGAAGTGGTATCTCATTGTGATTGTGAGTTGCATTTTCCTGATGAATAATGACTTACCTGTATACAGGGGTGGGCAAAACTAGGTTTACAGTTGTGAGTACACGAAACACAGAGTTTATTCTTATATTATTACTAGAGGCCTGGTGCATGAAAATTCATGCACTGGAGTGGGGGTCCCTCAGCCTGACCTTCCCCCTTTCACAGTCCGGGAGCCCTCAGGGGTGGGAGGTGACCCAGTGATCAGGGGAAGGCGATGCCCCCATCACACCTCTGCTGCTGCCACTGCCGGCAGTTCAAGCCTCAGCTGGCCATGGTTACCTGAGCCTCGGGCGGCCCTAGGTGGCTGGGCAACCACCATCTGAGGCTTCCCTGCACCTCAGGATGGTCCTAGGCTGTTGGGAAGTTGCCATCCAAGGCTTGCTTGTGCCTTGAGCCAGCCCTGGGCGGCTGGGGGGCTGAGGAGCCTGGGGGACTCCAGGGGCAGGTGCGTGGCAAGGCCAGGCCTGTCTGAGGGCAGGCCTGGCCTTGGCGTGCACCTGCCACCCTGGCGGGGCTCAGGGGACTGGGTGCTGTCATCTTGTGGCTGTGGGCACCATCATCTTTGAGAGTGGGGCAGTCAATTAGCATATTCCCTCCTTATTGGCTGTGGGCATCGCCATCTTTGAGGGTGAGGCAGTCAATTAGCATATTCCCTCCTTATTGACTGTGGGCGTCTCCATCTTTGCAATGGTGTGAGGGTCAATTAGCATATTCCCTCTTTATTAGATAGGATTTATTAATTATTGTATTCCCTTATGAACAAGTCTAAAGCTACTTTTGCCTACTGCATATGCTTTATAATGATTATTATTTAAAATTGTAGTAAAATTTTATAAAATACCTAAAATTGTTTTGAACCCCAAATTCCATTAAGTAGTTATGATAGCAATATTTGAGAAACAGTGTTTTTAAACTTATAATATTTAGATAAAACTTTGTCCATGTAAACTAGTATCTCCCCCCTCACGAGGAATTGTCAGACATTTTTATTTAAGTGAACACTTTTCCTCTCTACAGTTAAAGGCTTTTATTCAGAAGGTGAGTTTGAGAAGTATGTGAAGTATGACTATAAATCTCAAAAAGTGCTGGCTGCCATTGTTTTTGACCATGACTTCAAAAACATCAATGACTCTCTGCCACTTCAGGTGAGAAAGTTTTATATACAATTTTCTAATAATTGCCCTTCTAGTTCCTAAAATTTTAATGAATTTGACAAAATTAACTCTATTTTATAAATGAAGAAACCAATTTTTCCAAGAGGAAACTGCTAGTATACAGTAGAACAAGAATATGAATCCAGATCTTGTGCCTTAGATTTATGGGAAACTTTGACTACTCAAACAATGCTTCTAGTTCTATGAAGCATGGTGGTGTTAAAGCAGATGCATCTTCACTAATAGACAACCAGTCATGAGAAAAAATCCTCTTTCTTTGAATGAAACAGATTTTGAGTCCTTTCATAAATCTCTAGGGAAAACTCAAAGGCTTTGCCACACTGATTTAGAATTAGGACATGTATAGGCATTGAGAATCTGATTATAGCATAGCCACTGGGAAGGAGAGAGAAAGTGCTTTGAAATTGTTATCTCCTATAGAGATTATATTGGTGGTGGTGATGGAAGTAAATGGTCAGTCTGCAATATATAAACACTAGAAGCCTGTTGCACAAAGATTCGCACAATAGGCCTTCCTTCCCCTGGCTGCCGGCACTGGTTTTCCTCTGGCACCCGGGACCCAGGCCTTTGGTCCGGCCACAGTGGAGAAGCCAAGCCTCTTCAGTCTTCAGTTCTTCAGTCTTTAGTCTTCAGTCTTCACTCTGGCTGGAGCCTTCAGTCTTTGCTCTGCTCCTGTGTATGCTAATTAACCGCCATCTTGTTGGGTTAATTTGCATACTCATCTGATTGGCTGGTGGGTGTAGTAGAGTGACACCAATTTGCATTTTCCCTTTTATTAGTGTAGATGGAGCCAAATTCTGTGTTTAAAATACAGATGCTTGTCAGTTGAAGGCAAGATTAATAAAGCCACTACTAAAATAGTTCATGTTATTTCTGTGTGTCCATCCTTACATGACTATTCTTCTCTTCCAACTTCTTTCCATTATTGGAATCAAAATTATCCATATGCTTATATGGGTTTAGGCCAGGGGTGGGCAAACTTTTTGACTCGAGGGCCACAATGGGTTCTTAAACTGGACCGGAGGGCCGGAACAAAAGCATGGATGGAGTGTTTGTGTGAACTAATATAAATTCAAAGTAAACATCATTACATAAAAGGGTACAGTCTCTTTTTTTTTAGTTTTATTCATTTTAAACGGGCCGGATCCGGCCCGTGGACCGTAGTTTGCCCACGGCTGGTTTAGGCTCAACAATATATATTGGCTTAAAGTATATTCAGTGCTATTTCAAGTTTTATTTTTATCACTGATTGACTGTGCTATGTCCCCAAATATTTGAACTCGATTCCTAACACCAAAATTTCTCAAATTTTTGGCTCAGGTGCTTGGCCTTCTCCCCCAGTTTTATTTAGATACTAGTGGCCTGGTGCACGAAATTTGTGCACATTAAAAGGGGATTAATTAGATTTTAATATTGCTATTTGCCCTTTCTCTATAATATTATATTTAGATTTTTTTCTCTATAATAGAATTATCAGAGATGAAAGAAAATTAGTAAAATGTATATAAAAATCTTCCTCCTGTCAGAGTCTGGGGTGCACCTCGGGACCCAGAGTCAAGTCCCCACTCACCCGCGTCTACCTCAAAATCGCGTGACCCCAGACCCAGTCAGCACCCCTCATTGGGCTAGATCCAGACCTGGCTGGTCCCACCCTTGTCAAGCCCCACCAGGTGGGGGGCACAGCCTCAGGTCTGTTGGCCTGGTGCCAGGGTGGGGGTGTGACTTGAGGTCCCCCAGCCCGGGCTGGGGCAGGGGGCACGGCTTGAGATCCCCCGTCAAGCTGCACTGGGAAGGGAAGTGGCCTGCCATACCCCAGCCTGGCTCTGGGGCAAGGGGTGAGGCCTGAGGGTGTCCCCTGTCAAGCCCCACCAGGTGAGGGGTGTGGCCTGAGGTCCCCTGGCCCAGCACCAGGGTGGGGGGCACACCTTGAGGTCCCTAGTTAAGTCCCGCTGGGTGGGGGGCACAGCCTCAGTTCCCCTGGCCCGGTGCCAGGGTGGGGGCATGGCCTGATGTCCCCTGGCCTGCCTCCAGGGCAAGGGGTGCAGCCTGAGTTCCACCAGCCTGGCGCTGGGACAGGGAGTAACCTGAGGTCCCCAGGCCCAGCACCAGGGCCGGGGGTGCACTTAGAGGTAACCTGTCAAGCCATGCCTGGCCGGGGGTGCAGCACCAGGTCACCTGGCCTAGCGCCAGGGTGAGGGGCATGGCCTCAGGTCCTCTGCCCTGGTGCCAGGGTGGAGGGCGTGGCCTAAGTTCCCCCAGCCCAGCACCAGGATGGGGGGCGAACCTTGAGGTCCCCTGTGAAGCCCCGCCATGTTGGGAGACACAGTCTCAGGTCCCCTGGCCCAGTGCCGGTGGGGGGGCATGGCCTGAGGTCTCCCGTCAAGCCCCACTGGGCAGGGGTGTGGCCTGAGGTCCCCCCTTAAACCGTGCTGGGTGGGAGGCGCAGCCTCAGGTCTCCTGTCAAGCCCCACAGGGGACAGAAAGTGCAGCCTCAGGTCCCTGCTGGGAACTCGGCCTCAGCTGTGGGTGCAGCCATCTTTGTGGCTGAGTTATGGTCAATTTGCATATTCCCTCTTTATTATATAGGATTAGAGACCTGGTGCACAAAAATTTGTGCACTCGGGGGAGCGGGTCCCTCAGCCTGGCCTGTGCCCTCTCGCAGTCTGGGACCCCTCGGGGGATGACCACCTGCTGGCTTAGGCCCACTCCCTGGGGTATTAGGCCTAAGCTGGCAATCAGACATCCCTCTGGCAGCCCAGGAGCCCTCGGGGGATGTCCACTTGCCAGCGGGGAGCAGGCCTAAGCTGCAGTCTGACATCCTTAGCGCTGTTGAGGAGGCAGGAGCAGCTCCCACCACCACTAATGTACTGGCAGCTGGCAGCCTGGCTTGTGGCTGAGCAGAGCTCCTCCTGTGGGAGCGTACTGCCCACCAGGGGGCAGCTCCTGCATTGAGTGTCTGCCCCCTGGTGGTCAGTGTGTGTCATAGTGACCAGTTATTCCCAGTCATTCTGCTGCTAGGGTCAATTTGCATATTACCCTTTTATTATATAGGATAGAGGCCTGGTGCATGGGTGGGGGCCGTATGGTTTGCCCTGAAAGGTGTCTCGGATCAGGGTGGGGGTCCCGCTGGGGTGCTTGGCCAGCCTGGGTGAGGGGCTGATGGCTGTTTTCAGGCTGGCCACACCCCCTTTAGGTTGGGGGGTCCCCACTGGGGTGCCTGGGCAGTCTGGGTGAGAGCCTGAGGGCTGTTTTCAGGCTGGCCAAGCCCCATGGCGACGGAAGCTCCCAGCCTCTCCTTTTTTTCTTTTTTTTCTTTTTATTCTGGGATTTATTTACTTTCTATAATTGAAACTTTGTTGCCTTCAATGGAGCTCAGAGCCCCACGGCAGGTGGGAAGCTTGGCTTCCTACTCGCTCCACCTCCATGGCTACGGCTGGCTGAAAGCAGGTATCTGGGGTTTATTTACCTTCTATAATTGAAACTGTGTTGCTTTGAGTGTAGCTCAGAGCCAGCCACGGCAGGTGGGAAGCTTGGCTTCCTCCAACACTGGAACAACCAAGTCTCCTGCTTGCTCCAGCTCCCTGGCTGCCGGCTGCCATCTTGGTTGGGTTAATTTGCATATAGTCACTCTGATTGGCTGGTGGGCATGGCTTAAGGTGTAGTGAAGGTATGGTCAATTTGCATGTTTGTATTTTATTAGATTAGATAATTGACATATAATATTGTATATGTTTAAGATGTACAAGTATATATTACAAAATGTTTACCACAATAGGTTAATTACATATTCATCCCCTCATAGAATTACCATTTTTGTTGTGTGCTGAGAATATATCTATCTATCTATCATCTATCTATCTATAGCAAATGCCTTCACCCCCCTAGTGTCTGTGTCCATTGGTTATACTTAAATGCATGCATGCAAGTCCTTTGGTTGGCTCTATTACAATCATCACAACCCCCCCTTCTTCCCTCTGAAGTTTGATGATCTGTTCCATGCTTCTCTGTCTCTATTTTTATTCATCAGTTTATGTTGCTCATTATATTCCACAAATGAGTGAGATTATGTGATAGTTATCTTTCTCTGAATGACTTATTATGCTTAGAATAATGCTCTCCATTCTCCATACATGCTGTTCCAAATGGTAAGAGTTCTTTCTTTTTTACAGCAGCGTAGTGTTCCATTGTGTAGATGTACCACTGTTTTGTAATTCACTCATCTGCTGATGGGCACTTAGGCTGTTTCCAAATCTTAGCTATTGTGCTGCTATGAACATAGGGGCACATATATCCTTTCTGATTGGTGTTTCTGATTTCTTGGAATATATTCCTAGAATTGGGGTTACTGGGTCAAATGGGAGTTCCCTTTTTAATTTTTGAGGAAAGTCCATACTGTTTTCCACAGTGGCTGAACCAGTCGGCATCACCACCATCAGTGCAAGAAGGTTCCTTTTTCTCCACATCCTTGCTGGCCCTTGTCATTTGTCGATTTGTTGATGATAGCCATTCTGACAGATGTGAGATGGTACCTCATTGTTGTTGTGATTTTCATCTCTTGGATTATTAGAGACTTTGAGCATGTTTTCATATGTCTCTTGGCCTTCTTTGGTCGACTTTCAAAAAAGTGTCTATTTAGGTCCTTTGCCCATATTTTGATTGGATTGTTTATCTTCCTTTTGTTAAGTTGTATGTGTTCCCTATCAATTTTGGAGATTTGCGATTGAAAAAGACACAACGAAATGGAAAGGTCTTCATTGTTCATGGGTTGGAAGAGTCAACATAGTTAAAATGGCCATATTACCCAAAGCAATATACTGATTTAATGCAATCCCCATCAAAATCCCAATGAGAGCCCTAGCAGGTGTTTTCAATGGTTAGAGCATTGGCCCATGCACTGAAGGGTCACAGGTTCAATTCCTGGTACCTAGATTACAGGTTCATCCCTGGTCCACTGGGGGGTGCACAGGTGG